GGCCCAGGGCTGGATTCGAACCTGCCACCTTAGGTGTATGTGGCTGGCGCCTTAGCCGCTTGAGCCACAAGCGCCAAGCCCTAATTAAAGCTTTGATATAAACTTTAAGCCTGACTTGTATCTTCTGAGTTAATCAAACCATACACACAAATGAATTTTTTTCTCCTTTCCTCTCTTCTATAAGGCTGCAATGAATAAAGAAAAGTGACACGTTCACCTCTAAAACATAAAGGAATAAATTTACATTTAAAACAGGATGATATGGTGCGGCACCTGTGGCTCAGTGGGTAGGGTGCCATCCCCATATATCTAGGGAGGTGGGTTCGAACCCGGCCAAACTGCAACAAAAATAGCCAGGTGTTGTGGCAGATGCCTGCAGTCCCAGCTACTCAGGAGGCTGAGGCAAGAGAATTGCCTAAGCCCAGAAGTTGGAGGTTGCTGTGAGCTGTAATGCCACAGCACTCTCCCAAGGGCAATAGAACGAGACTCTGTCTCTTAAAAAAAACAAAAAACAAAAAACAGGATGACATAAGACTTCCAGTTTTTGACAGCCAATCCTTTATTCTCCCATTCTTACTTCTAATGTGTTATAACTGGAAGACTAATGCAATTTTACCAAAAGAGACCATTTAGAATGCTAGAGAATCAACATCACGAACCTAAATTCCTCACTGCCAAAAAGATTAACACAATTTGGATGTAAGTTGTTGAGAGATGCTGCCCCCCTAAACCCATTAGTAGGATGGTCTCTGAGGATACATACATCAAGGGTTATACCAGTTAGTGAAACCTCACAGCTAGGTATTAGGAGATGAAAAGATTAACAAAGACAGTTTTGAGCATGTTCATAACCTCGACAGCTAACACATAACTAAGATAACAGAAAGTCAATCTACTGTAGGGCAGACAGAACATCAATACAATGACAAACATGACAAATCTACACAGCCACAAGAAATATGCATAAGCCCCCAGAGTTCTGCAAAGTCAATGCAAAAATTCTTAAGTATAGTGGTATCTCACCCACCAAGAACCTGGCATCTAGGAAAATGCTAAACTTACCTATAAAGATACATGAAGAAACAGAGCAAGTGGAAACCGAGCTTGATCATGGCTTCTTTCATGTGTGACTTCAGCTGCCCTCGATTATGTATTTCTGTTGGATCAAACACTCCCATGTTACCACTTGGCACCATAATGTATCTGATAAATTAAAGGATACACACATTAGAAGGAAAATCAAATAATAGGCATAAGTATTCAAAAACAAGCAATCACTAATAATCAACCTTTAAAAGTGAACCAATGATAGCAGGTTTAGGGGCCGTATGTGGTAGCTCACAGTGGTAATCCTAAAACTCTGGGAAGCCGACATGGGTGGATCCCTTGAACTCAGAAGTTGGAGACCAGCCTGAGCAAGAGCCAGACCCCAAATCCACTAAAAATATAGCCAGGTGTTGTGGTAGGTGCTTGTAATCCCAGCTACTCAAGAGGCTAAGGCAAGAGGATCATTGAAGCCCAAGAATTTTTTTTTTTTTTTTTTTTGAGACAGAGCCTCAAGCTATCCCCCTGAGTAGAGTGCCATGGCATCACACTCACAGCAACCTCCAACTCCTGGGCT